ACAAGTGTTTCGTAGAGAAAAACACGTTCTGCCTAGCAACCACAGGCACTCCTGGCCGTCTGGGGGAGGAATCTAACACTACAAATGTCAGCAAGCAACTTATGCCACTGTGCCTCAGATACAAAGGCCTAGTCACTGGGCAATCAAAAATTAAATAAAAAATAGTTATTGAAGGAATATTCAGAAAACCAGATGCAATTATTAGCTTGCTTCCCTCTTAAATAAAGATTGCTCTTAGCTAGATGGGCTCTGTGCTTGGACTTATTTATAAACTGTTTTTTCACCCAGTTTATATACAGGAAAAGAGAGAGGACACTGAAAGCAAGTTATCATTTTGATGTTATTGAAATAGGAACTCAGTGTGGTACTAAAGTATATGATGGTCCTGAATCCAAGGTCAGACAGGATTGTCTGACGATGATGGTTATCAAAACAAAGCACTGACAGCAAGATGTTTTTTTCATTTTTATCCTTTTCTTATTAGAATGAGATTTTTTCTGCCACTATAACTAGCTGAGTTAGTTCAAATAGTTCCAGTATTTTTAATCTACTGCACAATTTATTATGAAGCATGAGCTGAGAATAAGAATCTTCTCCTAGAAACTGTGTCAATGAATGGATTTCTGGCCTTAGAGAAGTTACCAGCCATATTAGGCAGCCAAAGAAGGTTTAAGGAAGGACTGTCATGCCCATCTTGCAGATGAACCTCAGTGTGAGGAGACCAAGAGTCTTGCTCTGTGTTTGCACAGTAGATCTGCATCTCAGAACAATGTTTCTCACTGCTGCTTCAGTACTGAAATGAAACGGCTTTACCTCTCTGGTTCTGATCCAGAAGAGATCACCTAGGACGTAAGGTCTGCTGCCTACAGTAATCTACATGAAATGGGCTTGGGCAGTTCTAGGAGAAAGAAGACCAGAGTACATGCAGGTGATGTGTTTCCCTCACCTCAAATTTCCCTGAACCTAGAATATGCACATTTACCAATTTGAAAATCACAGTGATTCACTCCTCCCTTGACTCTAGCACTTGATTTCTTTTTCCCTTCTTCAGTATCTTCAAAGTTCACTGCATACATGGCAGATTGCATGCAAGGGATATCAACCAAGTGCCAAGGCTGGGAAGCCAGTAACCTCACCTTGAAAATGTTAGCAACATGTTGCTTTACAATAATCCATCTTCAGGACAGCTTCACGTGGGTGACAGACTGTCCCAGGCCCCACTTATGCAGATGTTCCCAGTGCATATAAACAGGGTTTGCAAGATGATGGCTATATTCAGGTGTGAAGGCATGTGTTTCAATTCAGTGTGTAAAAGCCAAAACCTTTGATGAACAGAGACCACTGGAACCAGCAAGACCACAGGCTAGAAGCTCTGTTCATGCAGCTGCCAGAGAGAGCAAGTGTGTCCTTGCTGCTCTCTGAAAAAGGAACAGACCATGCAGAGAACACAGGGCTGTGGCGTATCTGCACATGCAATAACAGCTCCTGCTTTCAGCCAAACTTTGGGGGAAAAAGCACACCAGCCAAACAAATATTCCTGTATTTCAGGGAGCAGCAGCCACTCCACCTTTCTGCCATGTGCTGGCTGTGCAGCAGGGGGATAAATGCCAGGACCTTACATGGCTATCCAAGCACCCCACTACCTGAGATATTTGTCTTCATGCAGGAGGGTCCATGGTCAAACTTCTCCTCCTAGTTCATCTCTGTATCAGCCAGGAAAAGAGATTTCTGCGCACAGTTCCCTGGGTTATTTGCTGAATAAAATTCTTTCTCATTAGCAGGTCAAAGCCCAAGAAACAACCACTGGAACAAACAAGGTTCTGTGCAAATATAATCCCCACCTCACCACCAGGGAATAAAAGCAAAGAATTAGGCTGCAGCCATTCCCTTTCAGTACGATGAATGCTTAAGCAGGTTAAGCATTGCACTGTGCACATTTTCTGGGGAGAAAAAAGAATGACTGCTTTACCAGCCCAACTTGCTGCTCGCAGTGGAACAAGCCTAGAGATTATTTTTTGACAAAGTAGTTAGGAATGATTACTGCATGTCAGTATGTTTCAAGTGTTAATCTCAAGGATTGATAAAAGTGCTGGTATTTCTTCAGCCTGCTCTTTTCCCATCAGTGGTATTTGTGATGTGCAGGAGAAAGGGCCTGGCTATCATGGAAGATGCCACCTAACAGAACCTTCTCATTGCTGCTGCAGCAGGAATTCATACATGTGCCTGAGAAAGAAAGGTTCTTATTTCCCACCCAGAAAAACCTATCCTTCAGAGACTTACACTGAGTTTGCTAAGCACTGCAAGAAAAAAAGTTACCTGAAAAGAAAAAGGAAGTCATTTACTGTTGGAATTGCTATCTGAACTGCTCATCAAAGGTGCAGATCTACCCTGTAATTTTTGAGCTGAATTTGGCACTTCACTACTCAGGACAAGAGGCAGCTGATGCACTCAAGGCAGACATAATTGGTGCTGTTTTGCAAGAAGGTGGGATGCTGCAACTCAGAGATTTTGATTCTGTTCAAGCCCATGTGCTGATTAGGGATATACAAAGTGAACTTTTTCTTACTGAGACATTTCTAGCTAGACTGTGACTTCTCCTGGACTTCTCCAGACTATGAAAAACTTACACCAACTGAATTGAGGAGCAGGGATGGAACAGCACACTGGGCTAACCCTGAGATGAAGCTTTGGATGTGGTGCTGACAATTCATAAAGAAGAACATGGGCTGGACACAAACCCAAAGGATATGGGGGCTGTGACAGAAGAGTTAGCAGGATGTGATGTATACAGGTCTCACCAGCAGATCATCACTTAGAAGGCAAAGCACAGAAAAGGTGATGAAGCCAGCAGCCCTGTGACACTACTACTAGGTTGGGTTTTGCACCTGGCTTCCACACCATGCTGTAGCAGAGGATGGCCTTAGCATACTCCCTCCTTCCCATGCACTGCCTGGAAGTTAATCTTGTCTCCTGCAAAGCCCTGCTTTAGAAGCCCAACTGCACACAGTGTATTTGAAAAAAAACCCAGGTTGTTCTGTCCCCAAACCACAGCCACAGGAAGGTAGGTGGGCACTGTGACTTTCAGCACCAAGCTCAGGTGGCAGAGAGAGCCAAGGCAACAGACGATCCAGAGAGGACTGCTGCTTTGAATTGCAGCAGCACTGCCTGGTTCACAAGATAACCTGGGATGTGCAGCTTCTTTAGGACAGTGGTTGTGCCAGACCTGGGATTTGCTCTGAGCACAACCAATGGGGCACAGTGCAACAGTCCCTCAAGTATGGATGAGCCAGACCACTGCTTGAGCTCACCTTTGTTTCAAGTAGTATAATTTCCAGAGATATAAACAGGAGTGCGGCTGCTGGAGACTCCACAGGGGTGGTTCCAATTCAACTTGTCACCAGTGACTGAATTGAAAAATCTGTGTCATGCCAACTGGGCAGAGAAATGAGTGCCATGGATGTCAGTCACAGACACAGTGCTGGAGATGAGCAAGCCCCTGGAACATCCCACCTGCAGGTTCAGTGACACAGACTCCCTCCCAAGAATGAGAATCCCTGGGTTTCTTGCTGTGCCATGTGCTGTGCCCCTTAGAAAATAATCCAGAAACTTTCTCCTTCTTCAGTGAGCCTTCACTTAAAATGGAGCTGTTAGAGGGAGGCTCTACATCCTACTGTCATGGCAAAAGCAAATTAGAATTGATTTTCCTCAGCTGCCACTGATAACAAAAAAGCTGATACTACCACTGGAAGTAAAATTCTTGTGCACAAGCCCCTTAAAAAATACAACATGGGACACTTTGGCAGCAGAACCCTCTGTCACCTCTTCTGGGATCAAAAGTACATGGCATAGACTTTAAATCAAACCTCAAAACTCCCAAATTATAAACAGATACAGCTGTGAAGATCCAGTCAACATTCTCAGCCTAGTGATTAATTTATTAAAGTCTTCAGGTACCAGTGTACTGGTCTAAAATGTAGCTTGTTCTATCATGTTTGTGAGTATTCCTGAAGCAGAAAAGGGCCAGCTTCAGCAAGGTTACTGATCATAAAACTCTGTACTAAAGATGCTGTAGTTTCAAATTTTTTCCTGTAGTTTGTATATTACAAAACCATTGAATATTACAGTGTCACAAGAGGTAATTCCTACTCAGGAATGAAATACTCTTTTTTCATATTTTAATGAATTTTCTCTGACCTCAAAATGTGTAGACTTTTAATTCCAAACACAGAAAGAGTAACAGAACAAAAATAATAACAGCTGGCCAACACTTCCTCATTGCCTCAACTCAATAACACCGTTACAAACAAAACCTCCACACATGATAAAGGTTATTACAAACTATTTCCATTTACAAAGCCAAACCATTCTCTACATCAGCTCTTGCACAATGCTAAGAATCTGCTGCTCTCAAGCACATGCCAACCACCTTCTGCGACATATGACCAACTCCACCTTTGACCTCTGCAGCCACCCCAGGTAAAGATGGCACACTTAGTACAGGGAAAGCTGGGTGCAAGAAAGGGGGATAAATCACAGCTTACACAGATGTGCCAAAGGAGCCCAGTCACAACTCCACAGCATTGTGCAGGCTGTAGGGATGATACAAACAAGTGCTCCTTTCAAAGACAGGGGTTCACAAGAAGCTGGAAATGCAAGATGTGGTATACTTATGGAGGCTTGGGGACACAGACCAGCTCATTTTAATGCAATCATATGCAGAGGGTTTTGCTTTTTCAAACCTGCTCAAACTACTCTTTAAGACTTGTGTGTGATCCTCTCCCAGCATTCAAATATATTCATGTTCCATGTCTGAATTGCCTTGTACAGCATGGCAGCAGAGACAGCGTGCTCAAGTGATCAAAGCACCTTTCAGAGCTGTACTACCAGCACTTACAAACAGACTTGTTTTACAAACATTTTGGTTTACAGTCTCAGTGAGATGACATGTTTTCCTCATCCACCCCATGCTGGATACCGAAGTGGCACGTGCTGACACTTACCTAGGAAGCCCTCTTCATCCACTATGATGGTGTAGTCCTCAGGGGTTTCTGTGAGGCTGAAGAACTTGCACCTGGCAAAGGCAAACAGCAGGAGAACATGATTAGCACCTGGACTGAGCAGAGCCTCATCTTCCACGTAAAATGGAAATTCTTTCCCATTCAAGCTGTGCTGAAGGAAAGAGTCACAGTCTGATGTTTATGGAGAGGCCTGAGGCATTAACAGACCTGGATTTTATTTCTGGGTAGCTCACACTGTGTGACCCATATTCCCTGCTGCCTGCCTATGCACAATGAAGCTGGTAACACTCTTATTATTTTTATTACTTAGTTCTTAGTTACTTAATTACCATATCCCTTAAGGCTTCCCATTGCATCCAGGACCTGCTGTGTTGCACTGACACAAAGCAAAAAACTTTGCTCACTGACTGCTCACTGCAGCACGCTCCAAAAGCATTTCCACGGTTCACACATACACCTTTTGCCCACTGAAGTTTCTTGCCTTATCAAGGTTGGACATCTAACCTCTCAACCAAGCCCCAGTATCTCTTCTTCCTCCTTCAGAGGCTTTTGCCACCAGCAGACAGCATCCCAATTTCCTGTGCTGGTCCTCTCCCCTTCCTGGGTGCTCCTGGCGAGGAAGAGTGGTAGCAGCCATCAAGGCAATGGACACAAGGCTGAGCTGTCCCCCCACCCCATCCCCTGTGGCCTCTGTTCTGCTCCTCCATCTTCTGACATCACAGGCCACGTGCAGTGCAGCACCCCCAGCTCGTTCACCATTTAACACAATGTCACCTCTAACAGCAGATACAAATCAAATGTGACATGGGATTCTTCCACTGCAGACACACAAACAAAAAAAGCTTCAGCCTTAAGGCTTAACACTACATATAGTTGAAAAGATTTTTTTTTTCCCCGGACACACCTACATATGTACATCAACATCTACTGAAAAAACCCCAGCTTCTATCTAGCTGGTCCCCAGCAATGGCAGGAAGGTTAGCATGACATTTTGCAAGCTCATGTTCACGTTCAGCAGAGCATCAGGACAGTGCTGGCCAGCATCCTCGACACCCACAGGGCTCTCTGCCCCTCCAGGAGAATGCCAGAGCACGTGGACTGACTGTGTTTGTTGCCTAAGACCAGGAGAAATTTTTCCCTTTAAACTGGGTGCAGCAGGGAGAGCATGCATCTCTAAGAACAAAAGAGCAGGATTTCACCATTACACTACAATACTCTCAAATTTATCTGAGACAACTTACAGAAAATATTTTAAATACTAGAAAAATAGAGATTGTTCTCAAGGCCTCCAAATTTCACAGCATCTTCACAGTGTAATCTCTGCATGAAGCACAATTCAGCAGGATTCAAGAACCAGGGACTACCAGGGTTTCTCAGCACTGCTGAGCATCTGTGTCAAAAAGTCTTCAAGACTTTTGAAAGTCTGGGACCCCATATTGGTGGCTCAAGACATCAAAAAATGAAAGCATCGCTTCATAAAGAATCAGATGAAAACCTGGCTTCAGCATTCTTTTGACTAGCTGAAAAGAACAAACAGCCCCTCCAAAAGCAACAGGGAGAAAAATGAGATGGATGCTGCCCTCCTCATCACCTCATCAGAAAACTGAGAGGAAACAGCACACAGTTCAATTAGTGGTCTGCCATGTAACCAACAGGATTTCATGTACATGGAAAGTATTAGACAACCTGCCTTTAGAGACCTGTCCTGTTTTCCTGGAAGCATTCATCACAACAATCAAGCATAACACTCCCTCTTAGCACAGACATATCATTATAAAATACAGCCATAGCCCCACCACAAAAGAAACCACAACTTAATTATTTTGTGTCATTGGTAATAGCTGCTGTGACAGCCACATTTACCGACTCAACTCTCTCTAGGAATAGTGCCAAAAGAAGCAGAAAACAGCAGCAGCTCCATTTTTTTACCATCACTTCTAAACTGCACCAGGCTGCTCCCAGTGCAAGGGGTAATAGAAGCTGGGCAAAAAGGACTTCTGGGATGCTGCTTCAGGTGGGTTCCAGGAGGCAGAAGTATTTGTTACAGTGGGTGAATTCTCCAGAGAAGTCACTGAAATAAAACTCCTTGCTACTACTGCCTGACTGAGTTGCATGCTGAGTAGGGAGAAACTAGAGGTCCTAAAGGAGAAAACATTAATATTAAAAACCTAACCTTTCCTGATCTGCGATGGCATTTATAGAAGAATTTTTTACTAGAACAGTAATATGTGTCTGTGTGCACACACTGACTTCAGCAGAAGAAGAATGATTGTGACAGATGCCAGTTTCTGGCCACACATCTAAATATGCTGATATTTAAGGGATATGTACACATGAAATCCCATAATTGCTGCCTCAGAACTCATGTCAAAACCTTGTATCTTCATATACCACCTCAAAGCCCAATCCCCAACTCAGTGCAGTTCTGTAAAAGGTCAGGACCACAGAGTCATCTGAATTTAAAAGTGAAGTCTTTCACCAGCACAGAGACCAGTGGTTCTTGTGGTATACATTCACTTAGTTCAAGCCAATGATGCATTCTTTTCCCAGAGGAAATCTAAAATTGAAAAATTGGAATTGCAAACCTTGTGTGATAGAAAAAAGGAACTCAATGTCATCTCTCTACCACATTACACTACACATGCCTCTTTCATTCGAGTTATTTCAATAATTTCTATTTCCTCTTAAATAGAAGAGGAAATAGAAATTACTCAGTCTTCAATAAGCTGAATGCCAACAGCATCTTCTATTATCACACCAAAGCCAAGAAAGGAAAAGAATTACCCTTTAATAATTTTGAGACATCAGACAAACAGTATTTCTCTAAGTACATGTGGAAACCCTATATGTAGGAAGACAGTATTTTTAGTTTCCTAATAGCCAAACCTTGGATGGATTATTTTGGATTTCTGCCTTCTCAGTGTTTAAGCACATTTCCACTTAAGCACTGTTGCTGACTTCGACTGCCTGACAACATATGCCTTTTTCTGGCAATGCCAGAAATGTAGACCAATCTATTATTAGATTAGATCTTTGAAACGGCAAAGCTTACACTGTGTATGGAAGAAATACTCAAGCTTGCACAGAGCAGGAAAGTGCCTACGGGATGCAGCAACAGCATCATTTCAGTTTGCAAACAGTACTCCAGTCTCCATGGGAGAAGTGAGCAGGAAAGTGGAGAGCTTGGCTGTGCTTGCAGGTCCACACCAGAAGTGTCTCCTCCAGACATTTGGTCTTCTAGGTCTGCTGAGATCACAAGAGTGGTAATACTGGGATGAATGTGACTTCTGTTTGTTCTGGGTCACACACAGAGCACAAGTTTCGGGGAATACTTCTTTGGGTCATTTGGAAGTTCAGTAGAGGCAATGGTCTTAAAGGAAGACCACAACTCCTACCTCCTAATTTATGAAGAAACTGCTTAATTAATTGTTATCTCAGCAGGGTAATGTTACAAAACTGTTTGCCCTACGGAAAAGATTCATTCCAGAAGCACGTGGGCAGCTGGTCTCCCCACATGTAGGAAACCATGGCTAAATGCCATTCAAGGAGGTCAAACGCAAAGTCTGGAAGTAACACAGAAGCTTGCAAAGAAGCAGTTGAACTGAATAGAAATTTAGAAGCAGCAGCAGCAAGTTCATCTGTGTGAATATGAAAGACATAATTTGTTGGGATTTGTTCCAGGCTGTCTTCCCATTTGAGATGAGGAGGGATTTGTACGTTTCACTCTGTATGTTATCATGACAATATATATTCTTATCACAGAATAAGACACATGCTAATCATCTAATTTTCGTTGATCCTTTTTGCAGTTTATAAATAATGACAAGAGGAAGATTCAATGCAACATCTTGTGAGACATATTTGGAAAGCAGTAAAGGACACCTGTGCTGTTAATGACATAGAGGCCATTGAGGACTACTAAAGGATGGGTAAGTCCTGCTGAGCACTCCCTGGCTCTCCAGTTCTCAACTCATCCCGTGGATGGGGTTCCACAGTCCCAGCTGGTGCAGTGTTGCTGTCAGGGCACTGGTATGGCAGTGATCACTACGTGTTGCTCTTCCACCCTCAGCAGTCCTACTGCAGAAGGGCTCTGAGAGACCAGGCAGGGTACTCAGCTGCCCAATTTCCTCTGTCTCCACAGCAGCTCTCCCAAAAGCCCAACAATGCCCTTTTGGGTCCCTGAAATACCCTCTCCTGAGGCCATCTATGCCAAGGATATACGGGCTTTCTGGGCCAGGCAGAATGGGCTGGCTTTGCCATTCATTTCCAGTCAGGCTCACTTCAGCTTCCAATACAGTCAGCTGTTGGGATCCTCCTGTCACTGCAGAAATGGAGCTGGATTCTGCCCCTACATATCTGATGGAATTGGGGTACGCAGTGCAGTAATGCCAACTAAAGCCTTATGTGCTTGTGGCTCTGATGTGCCACGGATCCACACAGTTCAGTAGATCAAATGGTCCCTTTTCTCTACCTGGTTGGAGGCAGGACTCCTCTAGTTCTGGCCGCTGTACTCCATGCTCACTTCTTGTAAATGTGAACTGGAGGTCCCTTCAAGAGGATCAAAACCAATATCATCCCTCTTATTTCCTCTGAGGACTTCCCTGCTGGAGACATTTCTGCAGCTCCTGCCAGGGCTGTGCAGAGCTGCAGAACACTATCAGGGTGCTGTGCAGCTCCACAAGGCCAGGAGACTGATAAGAAAATAATCTGCTGCTCTTTATGTCAAAATGAAATACCTGGAACCTCAATATTGGGATAAAGTGAATTTAAGGCAAGCTTAGGCAGAAGGTGAACCATAGCACATATCATCTGCAGCAGGCCATGAGTCTCTTCAGGAACCAAAGCAGCACAGCACTGCCAGCATCAAGGAATAGCAAGAGCCTTAAACATGGACCAACCATGGCCATCCTAAGCACTGCTGAGGTGCTGCCTGTGCTATGCTGACAGACTATAAAACCATTAGCGGGAACCATAATAACTATTAACATGCAGGAAGGACAAAGACACATCCTCTCAGCCCAGAGCACTTGAGGGAGAACAGAAAACTGCTTGC